CATTCATCATTGCTTTGAATATTGCTGCCACATCTGGTCTGGTGCTTCTGCTATATATTTAGAGATTCTTGATAAAATCCAAAGAAGAATCTATCTCACATATTTATAAGTCTACCATTCATCCTTGCTTTGAATATTGCTGCCACATCTGGTCTGGTGCTTCTGCTATATATTTAGAGATTCTTGATAAAATCCAAAGAAGAATCTATCTTATATATTTATAAGCCTAGCATTCATCATTGCTTTGAATATTGCTGCCACATCTGGTCTGGTGCTTCTGCTATATATTTAGAGATTCTTGATAAAATCCAAAGAAGAATCTATCTCACATATTTATAAGTCTACCATTCATCCTTGCTTTGAATATTGCTGCCACATCTGGTCTGGTGCTTCTGCTATATATTTAGAGATTCTTGATAAAATCCAAAGAAGAATCTATCTTACATATTTATAAGTCTACCATTCATCCTTGCTTTGAATATTGCTGCCACATCTGGTCTGGTGCTTCTGCTATATATTTAGAGATTCTTGATAAAATCCAAAGAAGAATCTTTCTTATATATTTATAAGCCTACCATTCATCATTGCTTTGAATATTGCTGCCACATCTGGTCTGGTGCTTCTGCTATATATTTAGAGATTCTTGATAAAATCCAAAGAAGAATCTATCTTATATATTTATAAGTCTACCATTCATCCTTGCTTTGAATATTGCTGCCACATCTGGTCTGGTGCTTCTGCTATATATTTAGAGATTCGTGATAAAATCCAAAAACCTGCAATGTTATTGGTCCTGACCTGTCATATCGGATTCAGTCTCTTTCCCACCACCGTAACGTAGCTTCCATGTGTATTTCCTACATGTATTTTCATGGTAATTGTCCTGATGAACTTTCCGCTACGGTATGAATGAATATAAGTGCAGTACTAGATTGGCGGCAAGGTCTCATCATTTTACAGATGAAATGGCGAGATGTAACCGTACGTTCTATGCTAAAAGATTCTTCTATTGCACCTATCGCTTCTGGAACTCTCTTGCGGCTTCTTGCTTCCCTGTTCACTCTGAATTTAAAGAAATTGAATGCAATGTCAATCATTATCTTCTGTCTTCTGTGTGTTATATTAATGGATATATTTTTGATCCGATATTTTAGCTATACTTAAAACTAGGTACACGTGTTTGAAATAGACGTCAAAATAAACTTATACGCGTTAATAAAGGAAAATTGCTGACACTTCAACTTTAACGACAATGTGGCAATTTATCAAGTCTTTATAATTATTATTATTTATCAATTTATTATTTATTTATTAATCCTTATTATTATTAATAATAATAATAAATGCACGAGCGCATGGCGGACTAATCAGTGTCATCTATAAGTCCATTAGTCGCCTGTGAATTGAATATTCTTCCCACCTCTTTGGTTTGGTGCTTCTGCTATAAAAAAAATCGAAAGAAGAATCTTCAATATTTTCGGATTATAAATGTTATCTCAGATTCAATCACTTTTCTTTCGCTCCATCACATAGAGTCCCTGTGCCTTTTTTTATATCAATATTTTCATGGCAATTGTTCTGATGAGCTTTCCGATTTGGTATCTAGAATTTATTAATTTAAGTGCAGTACTGGATTGGCAGATAGGTCTCATAACGTCACTGTTGTAATTGCTGAATCTAACCGTAAGTTCTGTGCTAATATTTTCTTCTTTCTTGCCCGGGGAACTTCTCTTCCAAATTCCTAATTTCCTATCAACTATGATCTTCAATAATTTTAATTCGACGTCAATGGCCATCTTCTGTCTCCTTGAAGCCTTTTCTTTTATTGTCGTTTCTCCACAATAACTTTTTTCAGTTTCTTTATACCTCAATAACCCCTTGCGTCCTACTGGCTTTATCGCCTGTTTTTTTTTTTTGGGGGGGGGTGAAATAATAATAACGATGTAACTATCCTCTGGGAGATGCCAATAATAATAATAATAATAATAACGATGTAACTATCCTCTGGGAGACGCCAATAATAATAATAATAACGATGTAACTATCCTCTGGGAGATGCCAATAATAATAATAACGATGTAACTATCCTCTGGGATATGCCAATTCAAACGGACAGAGAAATAAAAGCCAACAGACCTGATCATTATCATCAGGTCGAGAATTCTTCTCGGATTCTCCTGACTCATTTATTCCAGCCGTCTCTGTCAGACATCGCTGTCAGCAAGTCCTCCAGATGGCATCCAGACTCATTTACAAGTTGATCAATGTAGGTGTGATGAGGTCTCCCAACTGATCTTTTGGCGCGCAATGGGTTCCATAGGAGGGTGTCATTCGTAAGTTCTGACTTACTTCTCCAGGAGTGACCAGCTAATGTAAACACACCTGATATTATCATAAAAGACAAGAAATTCAGGAAGTGTATGCTTATTGACATAACAGTACCATCTGAGAGAGAAACACTTCCATGAAAATTATCGAGAAATTGTCCAAATACAACGATCTGGAGATCGAGTTTAACATGATGTAGGGAATGAAGACTGAGACTGTACCAGTAGTAATCGGAGCACTGGGCATCGTGAGAAAAGGAATGGACAATTTTACTAACAGTGTCCCGTGTAATATCAACGTACAATTTGCCCAGAAAATCGCCCTACTAGGAACATCCCATATACTAAGAAATGTGTTATCAATTAAATGACAATTCTCTTATAGGGCCTAAGAACCATAGTTTGGACCCGGCTCTACAGGATACAAAGCAGGAAACATAACATACACAAATAATAATAATAATAATAATAATAATAATAAAGCCTCTTCATGGTCAGTACTCTACCTGTACCAAACAAGCTGATGTAGTCAAACACCGTACCCATCAGTAGTTACGTAGTGCAGGGTAAAAGCTGAAACGGAAGGTTTTATGCTTGCTACATAGGACCAATGTTTTCTAACTAGAAATTACCAATCACACATACTGCAAAATTGTTATCTTCAAATGCAGATTCTGTGATAAATATACAGAAACAAGTGACCATCTTGAATCAGGTTACACGGTGTTAGCACCTACTGAATATCAAACTCGGCATGATAGGGTGGGTCAATGACTGCAATGGAAAATATCCAACTTTTATGGGAAGGAAACTGCAAGAAACTGATATGAACATCGCCTAGATCCGGTGTCCTGTAACAAATTTATGGGACTTTACAACTGACACAGGTAGAACAAACAAAGCTAATCGCCCAGAATTCGTGATCGAAGACCACAAAAACAGAATGTGCTTTCTTATTGACATGGCAGTCGCTGCAGATTGTAATGTATCTTTGAAAATCTTCAAAAACTATCAAAATACTAGAATATTGAAGTAGAAATAAAAACAAAACGTGGCACATGAGGACATCAATAATCCCAATTGTAGTTGGAGCCGTCGGTTTGATTGGCAAACGTTCCGATAGAATCATTGAAGGGATTCCTGGTTACCCATGTCCTAAAGAAATACAAAACATTGTACTCACAACTACGACTCACACATTAGGAAGAGCTTTATGTATGCATAATGTGTGGGATCTTAGGTTTTGTTTTTTTTGGTTGTTTTTGTTTTACGAAAAATGATCAGTGGAAGATGTCATGAACCTTAGGTCTCTGGCTGTAACCTGGAAGGAAATGTGTATGTAACAGAAATCAAAGAAGAAGAAGAAGAAGAAGAAGAAGAAGAAGAAGAAGAAGAAGAAGAAGAAGGAAATAGCAACAACAATAACAAAACCGTTAAATAACGCACGGAAGTAAAACTAGAAAACTACCGAAGCAGATGTATAGTTGGATTATCCTTAATCCAAGATGGCGCTTTTTGAATTCCCATGAGCCTCTAGCAGTTTAAGTCCGACGCTGATAAAATTGTCTTCTCACAAACGAAGATGTCAATTCGCTTTTTATTTGGATTTTATTCATTCATTTATTATTATTATTATTATTATTAATTTTACTCAACAACGCCACCAACCTCTCGATGTGCGCCAGATAATATTGCATAATTATCATTAGTGTAACCTTCTCCTGAACTCTTAGCTGCTTATTATTGTTGTTGTTATTGGTTTTGATGTCCTTATCATCATCATCTTCTTATTCTTCAATTTTTGTTTGTTTGTTTGCTGTATTTACATTGGCTTAGTTACTGAGCAGTCTTTCTAACTACACCTCCACTTCCACTCACAACTGCGCCACTGGCATTATTATCGTCTTGTTACGCGCATGTCTAATTTTTTCATTGCCACCGCCACCAGTATTATCAGCAAAGTTTTTCTTTCTTTCATTTCTTTTTTTCTTCATTTCTCTTTTATATTTCTTCACGCTTTATTTTTTATTGTTATTTTTTCTTTTCTCGATTTTCCTGTTTTTTTTTTTTCTTTGTCATTTCTTTTTTCTTTCCTCTTTCATTTTATTCTGTTTATTTACACTCTCTTTATCTTTATTTATTTTCTTTACGTATTTCATTGTTTATCTTTCTTTCTTTATTTTCCTTCTTTCTTTTTTTTATTAATATATTAACTTATTCCTTTATTTGTTTATTTCATTTTTTTTCTTTCTTTACACTTTGCTTTTTATCTATTTTTTGTTTATTTTATAAAACAAATAAAGAAATAAGAAAAGAACTTTCTTATACTCTTTCTTTCTGTTTTATTCTTTATTTGTATTTACCATCTTTCTTTCTTTTTTATTCTATTTAGTTATATTCATTCTTATTTCTTCTTTTTTTCTTCTTTCTTCATTCATTTACATTCCTACGTTCTTTGAATTATTTAATTTCTGAATAAAGAAAGAAATAAAATTGTTTTTCATTTTTTTCTCTCTTTAATTTCTTTCTGTATTTATTTTCTACCTTTCTTCATATTTTTCATTTTTATACATATATTTTCTTAAATTTCTTTATTTGTTTTCTTTATTTTCCTTCTTCATTTAATTATTTATTTTGTTTATTTATGTGCTGTATTTTTTATTCTTTTTTGTTATGTTCTTTCACTTTTTTCCCATTTTTCTATCACGTTTTTCTTTTTCCTTTCACCTTTTTTCTTTCATCTTTTTACTTTTCCTTTTTTCTTTTTTCTTTTTTCTTCTTCCTTTTTTTCACCTAATTCCTTCACCTTTTTTTTTTCCTTTTTTTATTTTTCCTTTTTTTCCCTTTTTATCTTTTCTTTTTTCTTTTTCTTTCACTTTTTACTGTGCTTTTTTCTTTTCCTTTTTTCTTTTTCCTTTTTTTCACCTATTTTATTTTTCCTTTTTATTTTTCCTTTTTTATTTTTCCTTTTTTATTTTTCCTTTTTATCTCTTCTTTTTTTCTTTTTCCTTTTTCTTTCATCTTTTCTTTCACCTTTTTTCTTTTCCTTTTTTCTTTTTCCTTTTCCTTTTTCACCTTTTCCTCTTTTCTTTTTCTATCACCTTTTTTCTTTATACTTTTTTCTTCCTCATTTTTCTTTCACCTTTTTTCCTTTCTGCTTTTTTCTTTCTCCTTTTTTCGTTTTTTCTTTCTTTTTTTCCTTCACTTATTTTCTTTTCCTTTTTTCTTTCGCCTTTTTTTCTATTTTCTTTTTTCTTTCACCTTTTTTCTTTTTTCTTTTGTTTTTCTTTTCCTTTTTTCTTTCCTTTTTCTTTTTCTTTTTTCTTATTCATTTTTCTTTCCCCTTTTTCTTTTCTTCATTCTCCTTTTTACTTTCGTCTTTTTTCTTTCTTCTTTTTCTTTCTCCGTTTTTCTTTTTCTTTTTTCTTTCACCTTTTTTTCTTTTACTTTTTTCTTATTCGTTTTTCTTTCTCCTTTTTTCTCTTTTTCTTCCTCTTTTTTCTTTCAACTTTTTTCTTTTTTCTTTTGTTTTTCTTTTTTCTTTCTCTTTTTCTTTATCATTTTATTCTTTCTTTTTCTTTTTTAATTTTTTTCATTTAATTTTTTACTTCATTTTTATTTATTTTTATTTTCTTTCCTTTTATTTTATTTTTTTTACATTCTTTTATTTTCTTCATATTTATTCATCTTGAAATCTTTTTCTTTTTCTTATCTTTTTTGCATTTACATTCATCCTTTGCTTTATTTTTCTTTCCATTATGTCTTTCCTTTCTTTTGATGTATTTTATTCAATTCGTCTTTTTTCTTCTTTTTCTTCCTTTCTTTTATTTTCACTTCATCTTCTTATATATATATATATATATATATATATATATATATATATATATATTCTTATCCTCTTTTATCTTTTCATCTTTATTTTCTTTCCTTTTTTGCATATTTTCTTTTTACATTTGTTTTTTTTAATTATCTAATGTATTTTTCATACTATTTCATTTATTTATTTTTCTTCTTTTTTGTTTCCTTTTTATGATTAATTTCTTCCTTTATATCCTTCTTTTTTTCTTCCTTACTCCTTCATCCCGTTTTTTTATTCTTTACTTTTTCATTATCTTTTTTATTCATTACTTCTTCATTTTATTTTTAGCCTTCATTCCATCATTCTCTTTTTATTCGTTACTTCTTCATGTTTTTTTTCATTCTTTATTCTTTCATTCTTTTTCTTTACTTCATTCTCTTTCTTATTCTTTACTTCTTCATCCACTTTTTCATTCTTTTTTCATTCATTCTCGTTTTATATTTTTTACTCTTTAATTCTCTTTTTGTCCTTTACTCTTTCGTTCTCTTTTTTATTCTTTATTCTTTCATTTTCTTTTTTATTCTTTACTTCTTCATTCTCTGTTTTATTTTTATTCCTTCAATCTCTTTTTATTTTTTATTCTTTCATTCACTTTTATTCTTTATTCTTTCATTCTCTTTTTATTTTTTACTCCATCATTCTCTTTTCATTCGTTACTCATTCACGCTTTTTCATTCATTATTCCTTCATTTTTTTTTTGTTTACATCTTCATTCTCTTTTTTAACTTTCACTCCTTCGTTAACTTTCTTATTTTTACTTCTTCATTATGTTTTTTATTCTTTATTCGTTCATTCTCTTTTTATATTTATTACTCCTTCATTCTCTTTCTTGTCCTTTACTCTTTCATTCTTTGCTTTATTCTTTATTCCTTCATTCATTCTATTTTTTAATCCTTCATTCTCTGTTTTATTCCTTCATTCTCTTTTTTACTTTTTACTCCTTCATTCTCTATTTTATTTTTATTCCTTTATTCTCTTTTTTTTTATCATTTATTCATTCACTCTTTTTTATTCTTTTCACCTTCACACTCTTTTTATTCATTATTCCTTAATTCTTTTTTTACTCCTTCATTCTCTTTTTACTTTTTACTCTGGCGTTCATTTTCTTATTCTTTACTTTTTTATTCAATTTTTATTCTTTACTTCTTCATTCGAATTTTTATTCCTTATTCTTTCATTAATTTTTGTTTATTTTTACTTCATCATCCTCTTTCTTATTTCTTATTTTTTCATTCTTTTTTTATTCTTTACTTGTTCATTTTCTTTTAATTCGTTACAACCTCATTGTTTTTTATTCTTTATTTCTTCATTCACTTTTTATCCTTTATTTCCTGATTCTCTTTTTTATTCTTTATTCCTTCATTCTTCATTATATTATTTTCTTTCATTTTTTTATTATTTATTGATTTCTTTATCTTTTATTTTCAATTTATTTTATTTTTTCCTTATTTCTTTATTTTTTCTTTTTACTTTATTATAATTTTCGTAATTTATTTGCATTTTTGTATTTCAATTATTTATTTAGGTATTTTCTTTTTTTCTTCTTTCGTTTCTTTCCTTATTTTATTCCTTTATTTTCACTCAATATATTGTTTCCTTTTTTATCTGTATTTATTGTGTTTTATTGATTTATGTTTTTTAATCATTTCACCCCAAGCAATGCGCGAGTGCCACTAGCACGCAAGGGGTTACAAAAAGATGAAATAAAACGAAACGAAAAGTGGGGTGTTTGAGGAAAGGATAAAGAGAAGAAGGGAAATCGAGATCAACGCATCAGAAGATGTCGATTGACATTACATTTGAATATTTGAAGATTATAGCAAGTAAGAGGAAGGGAGTTCCACTGACGGGAGGTACGAGATAAGAAGCTGTTAGAGTAGAAGAAACGTTTACATTGAACTGTTTCGCCAGTGAAAGTGTGGGACCGAGATGCCAACCTAGTAGCACGCTTAAATTCATGCAGTTGGTGTACCAGTGAAAATAGCTCGTCAGAGCAGTTGCCATGAAAATACTTGTGGAAAAGACAGGAGGAAGCTACATTGCGTCTGTGAGAAAACTACTGTAGACGAGATACCAGCTCAGGACCTATGACATTGCATATCCTTCTCTAGATTTGGTCGAGGATCTGGAGATGATTGATGGAATAGCTCGTCAGAGCAGTTGCCATGAAGTGTGTGTGTGTGTGTGTGTGTGTGTGTGTGTGTGTGTGTGTGTGTGTGTGTGTGTGTGTGTGTGTTGTGTTTCATTGTTCATTGAAGATGACTGATTCATTTCTTATTAGATTTTTGTATATAATTTTTATATATAATTAATACACACACACACACATAGATATTATTTTTTAAGCATATCACCCCAAGCAATGCGGGAATACCACTAGCACGCAAGGGGTTACAAAGAGTGAGAGTAAAAGCAAAGAGGAGTGTTTGAGGAAAGGATAAAGAGAAGGACGAGGTTCATGATCAAGGCATCAGAAGATGTCGATTGACATTACATTTGAATATTTGAAGATTATAGTTATCAGGGAAGCTAGTAAGAAGAAGGGAGTTCCACTGACGAGAGGTGCGAGATAAGAAGCTGTTGGAGTAGAAGTGACCATTTCAACAGTGAGAGGATGGGACTGAGATGCCAACCTACTAGCATGCTTAAATTCATGAAGTGGGGGTACCAGTGAAAGTAGCTCGTCAGAGCAGTTGAACATGAAAATACTTGTGGAAAAGACACTGGGAAGACACATTGCGTCTGTGAGAAAATTACTGTAGACGAGATACCAGATCAGGACCTATCACATTGCATATCCGTCTCTGGATTTTGTCGAGGATCTCGAGATGAAGGATGGAATCAGGCGAGAAAAACCTTGTGGCGCGACACAGAGAACTTTCTTTCTTTTCTTTATAGATTTACTTTATCTATTTAGTATAATTTGATTTTTATCTATTTCATTTATTTGTTTATTTTCTTAATTTTTTTGTTTCTTGTTATTTATTTTTTATTTATTTGTTTATCTTTTTATTTATTTTTTATATTTGTTTTTTATTTAATTTTTAATTATTTATGTGTTTATTATTTTTATTTTGTTTATTTATTTAATTATTGGTATTTTAATTTATTTTTATTTATTTTTCTTTCTCTCCTTTTTATCTGTATTTTCTTTTTCCTTTTTCTTTATTAGCTACTTCTTTTCTTTTATTTTTCTTCATTTTACTCTTTCTTCATTTATTTTCTTCCTTTTTTCTTCATTTATTTCCTTCCTTTTTTCTTCATTTATTTCCTTCCTTTTCTCTTCATTTGTTTCCTTCCTTTTTCTTCATGTATTACCTTCCTTTTTTCTTCATTTATTTCCTTCCTTTTTTCTTCATTTATTTCCTTCCTTTTTTCTTCATTTGTTTCCTTCCTTTTTTCTTCATTTATTTCTTTCCTTTTTTCTTCATTTATTTCCTTCTTTTTTCTTCATTTATTTTCTTCATTTTTTTCATTCATTTCCTTCCTTTTCTCTTTATTTATTTCATTCTTTTTTCTTCATTTGTTTCCTTCCTTTTTTCTTCATTTATTTCTTTCCTTTTTTCTTCATTTATTTCCTTCTTTTTTCTTCATTTATTTTCTTCATTTTTTTTATTAATTTCCTTCCTTTTCTCTTCATTTATTTCATTCTTTTTTCTTCATTTGTTTCCTTCTTTTTTTCTTCATTTATTTCTTTCCTTTTCTCTTCATTTATTCCCTTTTTTTTTCTTCATTTATTTCCTTCCTTTTCTCTTCAGTTATTTCTTTCCTTTTTTCTTCATTTATTTCCTTCTTTTTTCTTCATTTATTTTCTTCATTTTTTTTCATTCATTTCCTTCCTTTTCTCTTCATTTATTTCCTTCTTTTTTCTTCATTTGTTTCCTTCCTTTTTTTTTTTCATTTATTTCTTTCCTTTTTTCTTCATTTATTTCCTTCTTTTTTTTCATTTATTTTTCTTCATTTTTTCATTCATTTCCTTCCTTTTCTCTTCATTTATTTCTTTCTTTTTTCTTCATTTGTTTCCTTCCTTTTTTCTTCATTTATTTCTTTCCTTTTTTCTTCATTTATTCCCTTCTTTTTTCTTCATTTATTTTCTTCATTTTTTTTTCATTCATTTCCTTCCTTTTCTCTTCATTTATTTCATTCTTTTTTCTTCATTTGTTTCCTTCCTTTTTTCTTCATTTATTTCTTTCCTTTTTTCTTCATTTATTTCCTTCTTTTTTCTTCATTTATTTTCTTCATTTTTTTTCATTCATTTCCTTCCTTTTCTCTTCATTTATTTCATTCTTTTTTCTTCATTTGTTTCCTTCCTTTTTTCTTTATTTATTTCCTTCCTTTTCTCTTCATTTATTCCCTTCTTTTTTTCTTCATTTATTTCCTTCCTTTTCTCTTCATTTATTTCTTTCCTTTTTTCTTCATTTATTTAATTCTTTTTCTTCATTTATTTTCTTCATTTTTTCATTCATTTCCTTCCTTTCCTCTTCATTTATTTTCTTCTTTTTTCTTCATTCATTCCCTTCCTTTTCTCTTCATTTATTTCCTTCTTTTTTTCTTCATTTGTTTCCTTCCTTTTTTCTTCGTTTATTTCCTTCCTTTTCTCTTCATTTACTTCCTTCTTTTTTCTTCAATTATTTCCTTTTTTTCTTCATTTATTTCCTTCCTTTTTTATTTTTATTTTCGTCACTTATTTTTCTCTTTTCGTATTTATTTTTCTTTTTTATCTTCTTTCATTATTTATTCACCTAATTTCTTTCTTATTTTCTTTATTTTCATTATTTTTCATTCGCCGCATTCATTCATTTATTTTCACTCATTCTTTATTTTCTTCTTTTTCTTTTCTCGTTTACTTTCGTTTATTCATTTTTTTTTCATTTTCTGGCTTTTTATCTTTCTTTTATTATTTTTCTTTACTTTTCTTTTTTTTTGCTTTTTTACTTTTTTATTTATTTTCTTCTTTATTCTCCTTCCTTGTTCTCTAAAGATTAACCTGAAGAAAGGTATCTTCTTTCCCCAAGACAATGCTCCAGCAAACAAGTCCTCCGTTTCAATGGCCCCTGTGCGTGATCGCGCCTTTGAACCCGTTAATCAGCCACACTGTTCTCCTGATTTGACTATCATCTGTTCCCCAACATGAAAAACATGTTGCAGGGATTACGATGTCATATCTGCTGTTAATATCTTCTTTTACCAATAGGATGATCATTTTTCTTTAAACAGTCAGATGTCAGTTTACCTAGAAATAAAGGAGTTATTAATAAGAAAGGTTGAGATTAATGCATGCAAGCTTTCACAGTTCTAGCATCACCCCTTCATAGTCAGCCTATGAACTTTTCAGCCTAGCCTGGTAGCTGGAAAGAAACAATGCAGTTATTAATAAGAAAAAAAATGAATGAAAACATGCAAGATTTAACAAACATCAAACCTTCAGAGTCAGCCTATAACTTTTCAGCCCAATATAAAGTACCATGAAAGAAACAATGCATACATTTATAAGAAGAGCTAAAATTAATTTATGCAAGCTTTCACAGTTCTAGCCTCACTCCTTCATAGTCAGCCTATGAACATTTCAGCCCACCCTTGTACCGTGAAATAAACAATGCAGTTATTTATAAGAAGAGCTAAAATTAATTTAACAGAAGATTTCTAATAACTCCTTCATAGTCAGCCTATGAATTTTCAAATGAAATCTTTTACCGTGAAAAAATGCAGTTATTTAATTAGAGTTGGAATTTTTCAATAAAATCATTTTGCTCTAGCCTCACTCCTTTATGGTCAGCCTATGAACTTTTCAGCCCACCCTCGTTCCTGGAAAGAAACAGTGCAGCGAATAAGATTTTAAATGAATGCATGTAGTATTTCACAGCAATAACATCATTTATTCATAATCAGCCTTAGATCTTTTCAGCCCCCACCTCGTTTTTGGAAAGAAGCGATGCAGCTGTTAATAAAAAAGAAAAAGTTGAAATTAATCTATCGTCTCTCCTTCATCGTCAGCCTACGATGGAAAATACGAGGGTGGGCTGAAATAAGATCTTTCAGCCCTCCCTCGTATGTTCCATCCAGGTTCTTCCCCAGACTGATGAGTTTCTCCTCTTTGAAAGCTCGGCCATCTATTCCGTTTGCAAAATGGTTTTCCACAAAAGCGTCACTCATGATGGGTTAAAGGCAGGCGCTAAAAAGCATCGGAGATAGAAGTCTATTTACGGCGTACTGATCTGTGGAACCTCTTTCCTCTGGAACCCCTGGAACAGGTCTGCGCTCATTGCTTCACCATATCGCAGCTGGATATGATAGAGCAACTTCTTTCCCCTGTTATATTTGTTCATTTGTTGCCTACAGTGATTTGTGTCCCACTCAGTCAAAGGCGTTTTTGATGTCTATGAAAACATGGGAGACATTTTGTTGGTTTGGGCGTCTATTACTTATTTCATATCTTTCTTTTAAAGACCTGAGAGCAGTGTGAACTGGATGATAGAAAGACATGAAGGAAAAAGACAGAAATGAACGAATAAACAAAGAAAGAGGACTCATATATTTTTTTGCTGTTTTGCTTCCCTTCTTTTTTCTTTCTTTCTTTCTTTCTTTCTTATTATAATATCACTGTTTTTCTTTATTTATGTATTCTTTCATTTCTGGCTTCTTCCTTCATGTCTTTCTATCGTCCAGTTCACATTGCTCCCAGGTCTTTTGAACAGGTGTAGAGGTTTATCCCTTGTTTCCTGTTAAAGAAATATTTGAGAAACATCGCTTTAAACTATTCTCAATTTCTTCTCTCCATTTCATTCTTTTTTCTTTCTTTTCTTTTTTTTTTTTTTTTTCGTGCCGACCCCGATTCCGCCCACCCCGACAACACCTCCGTCCGCGCCGTCTCTCAATTTTGACAACATTTGAGCCTCGTGCCACTATCAGCCTGACATATAAGAACCACCCTGCAGTTCAATATGCCTTCCTTTTTTTTCCTGCCATTTGTCAAATATAAGTGGATTTTCGCTTCTTTTTTTTTTCTTTTCTTATTCGACTTCATTCATTTCTCTTTGTAATTATGTCTCACTTCACAAGACCTAGCCACAAAATTGGGAATGTTCCTGACAAATATCAATGGTACACTTACCCTGTATATCCCCGGTCCTTTGCGCAAACAGGGAGAATAGTAAAGGCGTTAGGGTGGGGGCGAAGAGTTTAACGACAAAGATATGAAGGACAAGCAAGTGTTGGTTAATGATGAAGATATTGCGAGCTGGGCGATCACAGGAGTGTTAAGAAGTTAGGTGAAACTTTAAAGAAAAATATTATTGTTTGATGGCTGTCCTGAAAGAAAGAAATTGATGAGTTTGCTGGACGTTACGCAACCCCGTCTACAGAGACGAACGAGGAATGAACGGACGAGTGTAAGCCAGAATTTAACGGAGTGTGCTGAAAATGAAAAGAGAAGGTGAAAGCATCACTGAAGGGCCGAAAAAATTAAAGCGTTTTGGATAGAGAAGCGTACTTTAGAAACATAACGGAATATAAAAGGTACATCTAAATTATATATATATATTAAAGAAATCTTTATGTTTAACGTTCTTTTTTTAACAAAAATTTAAATAAATGCGCTGTTTATATATTTTTACCGGCCTGAATGCCCGAGAAATTTTCATTTGAAAATATTCGTCCATTTTTATGATTCGAACCTGCATCCTATACGGAATCGTCATTTACGCTGACGTTTTAACCGACTCGACCACAAAATGAGCGCTCGATAGGCAAGGTCGAATTTACTGCTTATAAACTTCAATATTCCATGAATCTCGTACATTCATAACTGCTCTGGCGTATCAAATGTAAACAAATGACGTCAGCGTAAATGACGGTTCCGTATAGGATGCAGGTTCGAATCCTGTCAAAGGACGAATATTTTCTATGAAAATTTCTCGGACATTCAGGCCGGTAAATGTTATTTAATACTGTTTATTATAAACAGAGCATTTACTTAAATACTTGTATCTATAAAAAGAACGTTAAACATAAAAATATCTTTAATAAATAAATTGACGGACTTTGTCCATTCCTTAATATATATATATATATATTTTAAAAAAATAAAATTCTTTAGACACACTTGGTTGTAGATTAATATTCTTTCGTTTTTTTTATTATCATTCCATTTAGATTCCTCGACTAGTTTCAACCAAAATGGCCATCATCGGGAGGAGAAATATTTCAAAAATCTGGTAGCACTAAACTACAGAAATGAATGTTTCGTTATGTTTCTAAAACTACGCTTCTCTATCCATAAATATATATATATATATATATATATATATATATATATATATATATATATATATATATATATATATATATATATATATATATATATATATATGAGGCACAGTGGAGTAATGGGTAAAAAAGTTCGAATCTAAGTCGCATCCATTACATTCACTTACTCTTGAAAAATATATGAGTCCTCTTCTCCCATATATATAGTTAAAATGAGAATAAATGGAATATAATTCTACTGTATGTAACATTTAATTTAAAAGTGGGCTCCAATAATTCTCTAAAAAAACATTATAGCATGATGATAAAGTTCTATCGTCAAAATGTTTATGTTATTATTAAGAGAAAAGAACAAAGTATTTTTTTAATTATTTAAAAAAAAAAAAAAAAACTTCCTCCTTCCTAAAACGTTTTAAATTTGGCTCAAAAATCCCGGGTTTTTTTTTTTTTTTTTTTTTTTTGTCAATTTTGTCAGACTCGTGGGAATAGATATTTTTAGTGGAGCAGTTTTCGGTGAAAACACATTAATTTGGAAATTCTTCAAAAATCAAATAATTGTCTGATTTTAATGAAACTTTCAGGACTTATTATGAATTAATTTAAATCATTTTTTAAATTTTTATTTTTCGAAAATCTTGGTAAATATATATACAGTGTAACCCGGATATAAGAGACTCGGATATAAGAGAAACCCGGATATAAGAGAGATTTTCTCTGGTCCCAATTTAGAGCAGATTGTGTTAATGTATATAAAATAGAACAAACCCGGATATAAGAGAAACCCGGATATAAGAGACTTCTTCTCCGGTCCCGACAACTCTCTTATATCCGGGTTACACTGTATATATATATATATATATATATATATATATATACTTACGTTAAGTAACTTACTTTCAAAGGTTTCTAGAATTTCAAATAGTACGTAATTTTTTTTTATATTACTTATAAGCAGGACTCCTTGGAGAAAGTAAATCATCAATTTTTTTTCAAAAGTACTCCCAAATTTTTAAAAATCTGATCCAAATCGTAAAATAAAAACTGCAATAAAGCTATCTAATTATCTAATTAGATAGGCTATTAATTACTTTTGTAGATAATATACATTAAGGACAATACTGCCTGAAGAAAAAGATTTTCGATGAATAATGAATTTTTACAAGAATTATTTACATTTTTCTTTGAGTTTTACAAGAATTGTTTTCGTTTTTCTTTAAGTTTAAAAAAAAACGTTTTAAAATTCTTCCAAACAGATTATTACGTCATTATTACGTCATTAAGTGAAGACTATATTTAGTTAGCGAAAATTAAAAGCTTAATACAAATCACACTCCCAAAACTTTTTACCATAATTAAAGATATTATTGTGCGTCAAAATGTTTTTTTTTTTTTTAGTATGGTGTATCGTAAGTGATATTATGGTTAAAAGGTCACTTGTTTCGAGGCTTGTCCACCTTATGGAAAACTCCTTGACATACAAAGGTCTTCGGGCAATTCTGTCATTTCACTCTCAGTTATTAAAATGATAACAAATAATAATTTTATTAATTATATTATCTCAGTTATTAAATTAAAATTTGAATTATTGAGCTAATATTAATGAAATTATTATATCTCAGTTATCAATGTAAAAATGTAATAACTGACAGTGCGATAATTTATTAATTATTAATATCTCAGTTATTAAATTAAAAATATAATAACTGATAATATAATTAATAAAATTATTTATCATAGTTAAATACAATTATAGGAGTAACTCAATAATTTAAGAATTTTTTTATAGTATTTTAAATTATTATAAGAAAGTATCTTCAAAATTACCTAAAACAATCAGTAAAATATTAGATAATTGCTTGAAATATTTTAATTTTTAAACATTACCTGGAAGTTAAAAAAAAAACAAAAACAGTTCTTACGTATAAATCGTAAATTTATGTAAATTCTGGTCCACCATACTAAACTTGTCAACATTTCCGGCCATCAAATTATCGATGAAGACGTGAGAATAGCAAGACTCCTTGGTGAGTAAATTTTACGGTGTAAGTAATATTTGTTTGAAAACGGATGAATTTAACTTTAAATTTGATAATTTTACGAAAGTAACATTTCAGAAATATATATTTTATTTTAGGCGGATTTTTTAAAACATGAATTAAGTTTTGTTTACATTTCTCTGAAAAAGTTTAAAATGGCCGTTTCGATTGGTTTTTCAGAAGAATTGACTAAAAATCATTATAATTTCTCTATTTGAAATACACTACAGTATTTTGTTTTCTGGATTTAGAAAATTTTATCATTTAGCTTTCAATTGAAGCTGGGGGAAAGCTTCAAAAATGATTTTCCATTTTTGAAAAATACCTTTAAACCTTAGGTATACCGAATTTTTGGATGTACCTAGATGTAAACAGCTTACTTTCTCCTTCATTTGAGTATGCTGGATTCCATTTCCTTCTTGTTCCTGTTCCCTAATCTCTGGGAGAAAAACAAAGATGTGTTGGGTGTATTTCTGTAATTCTTCCCTTCTTGAATGTTACTTTTACGCATTTATCCAGTCCGAACTCCATATTGATTATTGCCATATTCACGACGTTTCGGTTGTACGCTCCGTTCTTCTTCAGTATCTGTCTATATTTCTGAGATGAGGTATTTTAATTATTTGCATAATTTATATTGATCAGACTGTGGCCTTCATCTTTATTGCCATATTCACAACGTTTCGGTTGTTGTACGCTCCGTTCTTCTTCAGTATCTGTCTATATTTCTGAGATGAGGTATTTTAATTATTTACATAATTTATATTGATCAGACTGTGGCCTTCATCTTTATTGCCATATTCACAACGTTTCGGTTGTTGTACGCTCCGTTCTTCTTCAGTATCTGTCTATATTTCTGAGATGAGGTATTTTAATTATTTGCATAATTTATATTGATCAGACTGTGACCTTCATCTTTATTGCCATATTCACGACGTTTCGGTTGTTGTACGCTCCGTTCTTCTTCAGTATCTGTCTATATTTCTGAGATGAGGTATTTTAATTATTTACATAATTTATATTGATCAGACTGTGGCCTTCATCTTTATTGCCATATTCACAACGTTTCGGTTGTTGTACGCTCCGTTCTTCTTCAGTATCTGTCTATATTTCTGAGATGAGGTATTTTAATTATTTGCATAATTTATATTGATCAGACTGTGACCTTCATCTTTATTGCCATATTCACGACGTTTCGGTTGTTGTACGCTCCGTTCTTCTTCAGTATCTGTCTATATTTCTGAGATGAGGTATTTTAATTATTTACATAATTTATATTGATCAGACTGGGCCTTCATCTTTATTGCCATATTCACGACGTTTCGGTTGTTGTACGCTCCGTTCTTCTTCAGTATCTGTCTATATTTCTGAGATGAGGTATTTTAATTATTTGCATAATTTATATTGATCAGACTGTGACCTTCATCTTTATTGCCATATTCACGACGTTTCGGTTGTTGTACGCTCCGTTCTTCTTCAGTATCTGTCTATATTTCTGAGATGAGGTATTTTAATTATTTGCATAATTTATATTGATCAAACTGTGACCTTCATCTTTATTGCCATATTCACAACGTTTCGGTTGTTGTACGCTCCGTTCTTCTTCAGTATCTGTCTATATTTCTGAGATGAGGTATTGTAATTATTTACATTATTAGGACTGTTGTCTACATCTTTATCGCCATATTCACGACGTTGCCGCCGTTGTACGCTCCAGCATTTTTCAAGTGATTGGAATTTTAAACTATTATTGTCCGGTTCCTTGTACCACGGGGATAGTCCAAGGTAAAACCAATAAAGAAGAACTCGAACACAGGTATGAAATAACACAGATATATTACAAACAGGAATATATACAGAGAAGTAGAAGTGTTAGTATGAACAATCAGGTTTAGTAGAGAGAACAATGTAGTCTCGACCAGTATCACTATTCCAATGTCTTGCAGTAATTGTTTGAACGCGACTCTGTTTCGGACTGCCTCTGATTTGACTCTTGACTCGACTTGAACTACTGACTCGACTTGAACTACTGACTCACTCTTGAACTACTGACTCACGATATTGAGTCCCCCCCACCACTGGGGCAACATGTGACACAAGGTCGGTTGTTTATTGTGGGTATTCCCGAGCCCGTGGGCTCGGCCCAAAAATATGCCCGTTTGAGCCCGTATAAACGGGTTCAGGGCCGGTTTTACCTCCCCAAAGGAGACTCCGCCCTTCGGCGTAGCCTCCTTCGGGTTCCTCTCTGTCCGGAGAGAGTGAGCTGAACCGATCAGTCGCTTAGAAAGTGAGCGACTGACGCACTCCTTGCCTTCTCCTGAGGCGCAGTATTTATTAAGTATGGAATAGTCCATTATTATTATTATGGGTAAGATCCCATAACAGAACTGAACCCTTCATTTCGTCCACCGGGGTAGATTGAGCTAGTTCCGCGTGCCATGCCTCTTCCGGATGTCTCAGTTATCTCCCTTTTAACTCAACTCTCCAAGTTTTTGTTCACCACTGCAGTAGGCAGGTATTGAACTCACGACTCTTTGGGTCAAATCACTGCCCCTCCCCCAACCAACGATTTTATCCAATGGGGCATGTGATCTTGAAATAAAGAGCAGTACTAAAAATAAAAAGTAGACGAGATATCCCTAAACAGTCGGCCCTTGTTTCCACAGAGCATTTGTTCGCGGGAAGAGGATACTCTATTGTCATTTAGGTCTCACCAATGAAAAAAGAAGGGAATGAAGGTGGTTCGCTGCAATGCTCGTCGCATAGCGAGTCTTAACCATGGTTGCTTAGAACTGGTGAACAACCCTAACTTGAGTGCTACTTGAGCCTTAGATTGGGTGAAATTCTTTTTGTTTTAAATTGATGTTACACCTGTACAAGGTCCAGGAGCCACTCGAGGTAGAAGGTTACAGAGTAAGATGCACATTTTAGGCGGATATGTAGGGAAGATAACGGTTAACCCTAGACTTGAACATGTTAATATCATCTAGGAAGTCGGTTCCTCAGAACAGACTACTGTTTACTTAGAAACTGCCCAGACTCATCTCACGGATACCGTAACCCCTTTGGATATTAGGGCAATCATGCCTACTGCAGCCATAGCAGTACACTTGAGTAAGTTAAGATTTTAGTGATCGGGAAAGCATCATCCTGGTTTCATGAAAAGCAGTTCGTTGGAAAAAAGCTACTGTAGTGGATCCTTCATCTAACTAATTGAATATGAAGGGAATTAAGGTGGTTCGCTACAAAGTGCTTGGCATGGCGAGTCTTAGCTATGATCGGTTATAAATGGTGAATATTTTGTGACAGGAAATATAGAAATTGACAATTTTTTATATATATTTATTCCTCATAATAACCTTACAATCTCACGCAGTAACAATCTACCTTGAGTGCCTCTTGAGCTTTGTATCGGCTGAACTTTTTTTTTATGTTGTTTTTAACTGATGTTCCACCTGTACAAGGCCCGGAGACACTCGAGATAGAGTGTTACAAAGTAAGGGGCACAGTTTAAACGGTTATGAAACCTGGAATATTTTACGTTTTATCAACTCAAGGCGTCAATCTTACAATTTCAAAGACTGCGTCTGCTGCTGCTGCTGCGTCCAGAATCCATAATAATAATGAGGCTGCATTATTTAAACTTTCTTCTCTCTCCATTTTAATCTCCCCTATCCCTGTTCTTATAATTCTCTCTCTTTCTTATCATGCAACGCTTTAATCTCTATCGTGTTTCTGGAAGAAATATATTTCCCATCTATTAATATTCAGATCTGTTAATCTCAGATTAAAATACCCCTGATTAATTTGTTGTAAGTGGAAATAAGTTAATGAAAAAGAAAGAAAGAAAGAAAGAAAGAACGTCAATAAGAAAGAAAGAAAATGAATAAAGAAAATATGAAAGAAAGAAAATGAATAACAGCAATAAGAAAGAAAGAAAATTAATAACGATAATAAAAAAGAAAAATGAAAGATAAGTAAATAAAACAATGTGTAATAAAGAAAGAAAGAAAGAAAGAAAGAAAGAAAGAAAGAAAGAAAAAATCAAACAATCAAAGAAAGAAAGAAAGAAAGTCAAAATGTAAAAATGAAAAAGAAAGAAAATAAAAAAAAATGATCTTGATGGTCGAAATATAACAAAAGTATGTATTTTAAACGACGCGGAAAGTAAAAGGAATAAAAAGAATTTATGAAATAATTTAATGAGTCAAACGATAAATAAAACCTGAAATATTTTTCGTTTTATCGACTCAAGGCGTCATTTATTCGATTTCAAAGATTGCGTCTGCTGCTGCTGCTACTGCTGCTGCTACTGCGGTTAGAATCCATAAGAATAATGAGGCTCTATTATTTAAACTTTCTTCTTTTCTCTTGATTTTAATCTCATTTTCTTATCTTTCTCCCTCTTTCTTATCATTCACTCCTTTAATCTTTATCCTGTTTCTAGAAATTCTTTCTTCCAGAAATACAATCTGGAAAAAATATATTTCCCATCTATTAATCTTCAGATCTGTCAATCTCAGATTAAAATACCCCTGATTAAGTTGTTATAAGTAATATTCATTTTAGGAAGCCAATTGTAATGACTAATGTACCAATCTATCGAACCATTTCTTGATTATATTAGAACAACCGATTAAAATTGGTTATTTTAAATTTATTTTAAGTTAAACGCAAAGGGCAGTAGAGTGGTGAGAAACATACTTTTTTTTTACAATGACATTTACACTGTACAAGGCCTGAGAGGCCCTTGAGGTAGAGGGTTACTGAGTAAGAGGTACAGTTTAGGCAGATATGTAGGGAAGATAACGGTTAACCTTAGGTTAATGAACATGTTAAGATTGTAGTGATTGAGAAAACATCCTCTAGGGAGTCAGTTCCACAGAGCAGACTACTTTCTGTTTTAGAAACTGCTAAGACTCATCTCATGAATACCATAAGCGCTTAGGATCATAGGAAAACCATGTCTACTGCAGCTATAGCAGTAAACTTGTGTCGGTTAAGATTGTAGTGATTGGGCAAACATCTTGTTGGTTGGCGGGGAGAAGCTGCTCGATTGGAATTTTTACAATGTTCACCCTGTACAAGGCCTGAGAGGCCCTTAAGGTAGAAAGTTACTGAGTAAGAGGCACAGTTTATGCGGATAGGTGGAGAAGTTAACGATTGATCCTAGACTTGATCAGGTTAAGATTGTAGTGAAGCATCCCCCTTGGGAGTCCTCACGCAGTGTAAAGCTAAATATTATTATGTTAAAAATCGCTGCACAATTACAATTATGTTATCTTGACATATCTTTGTTGAAAAGTCCTTATAAACACCCTGAAGATGGTTCATGAGAGCCGAAACATTAGATCAAGGAAGAGCTCAATAAAAAATATCCAAATGTTGGACAATTTTTGTCTTTATTTTCACCCGAAATTAAAGCAAACATAAGAAGGTTAGAACGGCTCATGATCAAATTTAATAGACATTCATTGTCTGTCATATTTAACAATATTTGTTTAAATAATGATTGCTGCCCCAATACATATATATATATATATATATATATATATATATATATATATATATATATATATATATATGAAGAAATATAGTTTTAAGGTGTGCTATATTTATGGGATAAAGTGCTCAATATCAGAGATAGAGCGTATGTAAATATAAAGTGAACATTGAAGTCGACACTCAGAGGCGACAGGCTGTTTCATGCTAGACGCAATCGGCAGGCCGCCTGACGATTGTCTCTAGCATTAAACAGCCTGTCGCCTCTGAGTGTCGACTTCAATGTTCAATTTATATATATACTAGCAGTAGAGCCCGGCGTTACCTGGGGATGTAACAGTAAGAGATAGATCAAGTATCGACCATCATAAAGACTGAAAAATAAAATTGACAAAGATTATTGTTTAAGGTTGACGGACACGCATGTGTTAATTAGTTTTTTTTTGTTTGTTTTTTGTTTGTTTTTTGGGGGTTTTTTACGAATTGGTCAAACCCAAACTCAAACAAAAACATTGTTTTCAATCGTTATGAGTCTACCGATTGAATAGAATTTTATTATAAACAATTGTCTTGTAAATGGAATTTTTAAAGCATTCTGAATGTAAAAATAAAGAAAAAAGTGTGCAAGACAATAAGAAATACTACCTGCCAAAAAAAAGTGAAGTTTTGTTGAAATTGGTTGAAAAATGTAGGAAATCCGATCCCATATATAAACGAACACACACACTCACAAACAACCTGGGTTTTATAATAAGTATAACTCGATATGAGTTGTCCCCCTTTCATTCTCGACAGCGATGTCTCTTAATCGTGTTTTCAAATTGATTTCGCGCAAAAACAATTGTATTTTTCCGTTTTTTTTTTTTGTTTGTTTGTTTTTTTTTTTTGGCGCTGTCAGAACAACCGCAAGGTAATTTTACGTAGTCCTGTGAAGTTTTGTTGAAATCGGTTGAAAAATGTAGGAGATCCGATCCAATATATAAACAAACAGACACACACACACAC